CACTCCGCTGTCCATTCAAACGGCCCTTTCTTTCGTAGGACTTTGAAGAAAGGAAGGCACTTATCTGTCGATCTTGAAACAAACCGGTTCAGGGCTGCAATCCTGCCGTTGAGGCACTGAAGCTGTTTCAGCGTCTTGGGTGCCTCCATCTCGAGCACGGCTTTAATCTTTTCAGGGTTGGCCTCGATCCCCCGGTGGTTCACCATGAAGCCAAGGAATTTTCCTAAAGAGATTCCAAAGGCACATTTAGCTGGGTTGAGCTTCATTTGACATGTTCTTAGAACCTCGAAGGCTTCGGTCAGATCGGAAAGATGCGACTTAGACTGCTTGCTCTTGACGAGCATGTCGTCCACATACACTTCCATATTCCGGCCGATCTGCTTGGCGAACATTTTGTTCACCATCTCTAGTAGGTCGCTCCTGCGTTCTTTAAACCGAAGGGCATGACCTTGTAACAGTACATGTCTGTATGAATGCAGTATGATCTTGATCAGGGACATGCATCTTGATTTGGTTGTACCCAGAGTAGGCATCCATGAAGCTGAGCAGTTCGTGCCCGGCTGTGGCGTGCACGAGCTGATCAATCCTCGGCAGTGGGAAGCAATCTTTTGGGCATGCCTTATTTAAGTTCGTAAAGTCTACGCACATTCTCCACTTTCCGTTAGATTTTTTAACTAATACAACATTGGAGAGCCACTCGGGATATGAAATTTCTCTTACGTATTCAGCTTTCAAAAGTTTGCTAACTTCCTCAACAATTACATCACTCCTCTCCTTGTTTATAGGTCTTCTTTTTTGTTTTACAGGTTGGAATGATGGATCTATGCTGAAGCGATGCGTCATAATATTTGGGTCAATGTCAGGCATGTACTCATGAGACCGCGTAAAGACGTCTGAGTTGAATCTGAGGAAGTGGATTAGCTCCTCTCTGTCGGTGGCCCTCAGCTTGGTTCCTATGCTTACCTGCTTCTCGGGACTAAGCAGAGGAACAAGCTCGAGCTCCTCAGTGGGTGCGGCAAACTCCCTCCTCGGCAGGTCGGCCTCGAACTCGAGCGTCCCATCCCCACCGGCGAGAGTTTCGATGGCGCAGACCGATGAGCCTTTGAGTGCGGAGGCATAGCACTCCCTCGAAGCGGTCTGTTCTCCTCGGACCGTGCCCATGCCATTGGGGGTGGAATACTTCAAAACTTGATGAAGTGTTGAGGGAATGGCCCGAAATGAATGGATGATGGGTCTCCCAAAGATGGCGTTATAGGCCGATCTACCGTCAATCACCACGAACTCGGCCATTTGGGTGACCTGAGTTTGGTCCTGCCCAAATGTGATCGGCAAGTCGATGCAACCCTCTGGGATGACCGATTCTCCAGAGAACCCAACCAGCGGTGTCGGGCTTTTCTTCAATTGCGACCTCGTCCATCCCAGGGCGAGGTAGGTCGGTAAGGACAGGATGTTAGCAGATGCGCCTCCGTCTACCAGCACCCT